TAAGACACCTCTTTTCTTCCCCCTTCCTTCCTTCCTGGCTCCCTTTTAGCCTTCCTTCCTTTCTTCCTTGCGTCCTTCCTTCTCTCCTGGTTAACAGTAATGATAAACATGGAGCAAGTCTACCAAAGGGATGCCCAGGAAGCTGGAGGAGTGGGAAAGTCGTACGCGAGTTCTGCCTGGCTTGCTGGGCGAAGGAAGGAGTCCCGCCTGATGTCTCTTAGTTCTTCTTGAGAGATCCAACATCTCTCCAAATTGCCCTGGAAGCCTCTTCCAGGAGAACACTTCACAGACCCTGACATCAGGGAGAAAACTGCGAATGGCAACCAGGTAGGCTCAGAAAAAACTCCGAGGAAATGTATTCGCTTCTCAGGAGCAATGCAGTCGTTGGCCATCTCGTGCTAAAAACGCATGCCTTTCTGAGCACGATCAGAAATGAAAGTGAGGCCCAGCCGCAGAGAGGCCGGGGCAGCAGAGGGCTCCGCGATGCAGGGTCCATGTGGAAGGTCAGGAGTGAGGCCTGTGCACACCAGGCAGGCCTGATGCCTCGATTCAGCTGGCTGGGAAAGGCTGAGGGAAACCAGGATGGCGACACGAGACCCTGTTGAAGGCATTTCTCTCCCTCCCTCCCTCTGTCAGGAAACTCTAAAAACAAACCACAAAATCACCTCTTGCCAGGGCCAGCAAGTGGCATAATGGTTATAGTACTGGACTTGCACGTGGTTGACCATGGTTCAAGTCCCAGACCCAGCAGCTTGAAAATCACACTGTGCACATGTGTGTACCTACCCCATATCCCAGGAGCAGAATGAAGAAGGGGTTGTGGCATGGCCATCCCCCTTGGTAGGTGATTTCTCACTTCCTCCCTCACTGCCTCTCCCTGCTTTCCTTCAGCGAGTGCACATGTTCTATGGCAAAAACCTGGCGAAAAAAAGAAATCACCTCTTGCCTGCTCTCCTCCCCCAGGGTCACTTATACCCTCCAAAGGTACCAAAACTACCACTTCACACACTCGCTTCCCTGAAGTCATCGTCCAAGATATTCAGGGTATCTGCTCAGCTCCCAACAACTCATTCCACCACGCATCTCCTAAGGCTCTACAACATCCACAGAGCCCCCCCAACTCATCAGACGGGAGCTGCTGGCCCCCCGGCCCTCCGTATTCACACACCACGTCCTTCAGCCCAGTACAGCTATGACAGCAGGAAGGCCCTCAGTTTTCTATTGTCACTCACTCTTATGAATGGAGGAGTAAGTGTGGAAAAGAAGGACTTGTGCATGGGGGGGTCTTCGAAATGTGCATGGAAAATGTGTATTCTGAAAAAGAAAAAACTATGCATGGATTTCAAAAACTTTTTTGACTAAAGCAAACTTGTACTTTAATTCCGTTTTTCCATGAGCTTTTTGAAATCCCCTCATCTGTATCACTAGAGGGTCCCTGGGTTGGTAAGACAGTCAGCACACACACCCAACAGCAAATTAACAAAAGCAGCCGGGAATCCACATGGAGAAGAACCTGGTCACGCCACAGCATGAGCCGGTGATCACAGGGCCTCGCGGCACATCGAAATCACCTGGAGCTTTCCAAAACTCCTGATGTCTGGGCCTCGCCCTACACCATTTAAACCCCAATCCATGGAGATGGATCCTGGGTCTCGATACTGTACTAAAGCTCCCAAGCGTTTCTAAGAACCAGCTGGGAGGGTGGGCTGGCTCTCTCTGCTCAGTCCATAGACCGAAGCAGGAAGTCCACACACAGGCCACACCAGAGGCCATACTTTTGAAGTAGGAAAAGCTGGCTTGCCGGCCATGGCGAGATGCTCCTCGAGTGAGGACACCAACCATGCAGGTGACGTGACCCTGGAGACAGTAGGTCCAGAGGCCAGCCTTGAACAATAGGTGAAGCCGAACTTCTCCAAAGGACAGGTGTACCTTTAATGAGTGGTCAGTGCATATGCTTCAGGCAAACAAAGCAAAGCAGAGACAAATGGGTCAGCAGCAAAGGGAGGACTTTAATTTCATTCCATTCATAGTTACGAGTGCCTGCTAAAGGCAACGCAGATGTAAGAGGGCACAAAGGCCAGGCAGGGGAGAGGAGACTTCTAGAAGGCAGTCTAGAGATCCACAGGCAAAGCCTTTGGGGACATTTAGGTGTCCAGTGACCAGGGCACAACCCCGAGGGCAGGGATGCTACAGAGCCCCTGGGCAGCTGAGCCGGCAGGCACACGCTGTGGCTCGTGGATCTGGCTCTGGCTGGGTGTCCAGGCAGCCTGTTCTGGACAGGAAGGCCGGGCTATACTTACCTGAGCAAAATTCCTGTGATTTTGTATGCCCCCCCCCCAACCCCACACCTCCCCATTTGAATTTTGTTTCATTTGTTTCCTTTTAAAACAAATTCAGGTTTTACAGAGTCTGAACCAAGCAGGAGGGGACTCAATCTCAATTAGGCCAGGAGAACAGCCGTGGTGGCCAGGTCTGGG